ACCAGACAAAATGACCTGAGGCAGCCACAATTTCCTGATTGACAACCTCTCTGCCAGTATGACAAGATTGATACAGCCCAACCACTGAAAAAGGCTCTACAATGGAGAGCAAGTCTTATAATGTCATGAGTCATCAAACAACCACACCGAGACACCATAATTGCCGTCATTACTTACATCCCTGTTTGAACATTTGCATAGCAGAGATTACAATTACCATATTTGACATATTAAGCGACTGTTTTCTTTGGTTGGTTGTTGTTTAACGCCACGGTATTCCAGCTACATGACAGTGGCCTGTAAATAATCTGTAAATCATCAAGTCTGGTGATCGATATTGTGAGCAACAAGCCCTGCCAATTGGAGTACCAGGACTCTATATCAAGCCATTCACCAACCAAACCCTATTCATTCGGTTGCCTCTTAAACCAACATGAGTTGCTGGAGACCTTTTAAAGTAAGTAGATATAATGAGAATGAAGGAGTGAGGTGAGGTGAAATGGGGTTTAAAGTCACGTCCAAGATTATTGCTCTTATATAGCGAGTGTTTGTGTGTGTGGCTGTTTGTACTAGTCCGGACTGATGCCGATTTATAGTGCGATACATGAATACCCCACCCAGACACAGAATGCTGACTCCGAGCCTACCAGTCCTTGTTTTATCCCCTATTGCCAAGCACCAGACAGGGTAACAACAAGTACCATTTTTTAATGTCTTTGGTATGACGCGGCCTGGGATCGAACCTCAAACCTTTTGCTTCAATGGATGCTCTACCACTAGACCACGGAAGCGGTCAAATGAGGGAGTGAGTGAGTTGGGTTAAACACTACTTTAAACAATATTCTACTTATTCCATAAACCCACAAGCATGAGACCCCTGAAGATTCCGGGGTAGAATAGGTCTTCAGCAACCCATGCTTGCCATAAAAAGCGACTATGCTTGTCGTGAAAGGCGACTAACGGGATCGGATGGTCAGGCTCGCTAACTTGGTTGATGCATGTCATCGATCCCAATTACGTCGATCGATGCTCATGATGTCAATCACTGGATTGTCTGGTCCAGACTCGATTATTTACAGACTGCTGTCATATAGCTGGAATATTGCTGAGTGCGGCGTTAAACAACAAACCAACCAAACAACAAGCATGATTATGGTGCTTACAAACCAAGAAAGATAATCAGGGCTACCCCTAAGCATAAGTTTCTGGTAAGCCCAAGGGATGCAAGGTTGCACAGCTAATTGCAGCACCTCAGACAACTCGACCACCCATGCCTTAGATATAATAAGAGATAAACAAACAGTGTTTTCAGAGTAGAGCTACCTGTTGATGTAACATGTTAACCATTCAAATTGAATTTGGAACAAAACAAGTAGCTGTTTCAATCAGAGGTGGTTATTAGGATTTGAACCCTCCAAGTGACCAATCAGACTTGAGTATTTTACAAATTCATGGTGGAATTTTCATTAATTTTTATCTTGATGAACGAAGTGTAAGATGTAATTCAATTTCCCTTGAATAGTTGGCGCACGACACGTTGCCTGTGACACCTGCACAGCATACCACAGCATACCACAGCATACCACAGGCAATCTCATCAGGACATTCTCCTGACTGCAGAAATTTGACTAACCGTAAACTGATTATCTTGACCATTAAGCCATTCCATAACAATATATGTTAAATAAACATCACTTGATAAATTGTTTTCATTTGAATAAATATTCCTTTTTAATTAAAAAAACGTATTTATTTTGTCAATATCCTCTCAAACAATTAACTGAAAAGATTACAAATCAATGTGTTTTTCGCCACACATGAACAGTTGAATTGATCAATTTCTTGTCCGTTCCCCACCACACACAGTCACATCAGTTCTAATATCTGTCAACAGACCAACCATGCCTCTACACAACCGCTTTCATTCAACCACAACATTATCATCATAACAAATCAATACAGCAAGATATTGTGTAATGATAATTGGTCGTCTAGCAACACAGCCATTGTGTAAAACATGGCAAACTGTGAAGATCAACTTCCACAGCATCTTGCCAAAGACGCTCCTATGATCGGACTAAGACGCAGACATTTCCAGCTTCTGCTTCAGCAATCACTGCACGCAATTCGGTACCACCAAACTGCGCCACCATGCACCTGGCGGTGTTATTCATATGTGTATTGATTACACCTGGCAAATTAATTTCTTATTTTGTGTGAGAATAATCTTAGCCAGTTGCTGTAGCCGCTATTGATCCTATCAATCTGTGTTACACTCCAGCGGTAGAATTGCTAGCGGGAGCTAGCCTCCATCACCTCCACAGGAGGCCATTCTTGCATTTCTGATGACACATGCAAAAACTGTTGCCGGCTAAAAATACCCCTAAATTTCATTGACAAACATGGTGGGAGAAGGGGAGATCAATGGCTGACTACAGGAGCAGACGGTCAACCGCATCCCACAGCAATGTCAGGCTGTAGAAGCATCTTACAGAAAACCCTGTCTACAAATTAGACGTCCCTAATTGGTTGACAGTACCCTTTCTGAAATGCATCTTTCAATCAGACTGATTTGCTTCTGTTGCATTGCGTCTGTTGCAATGTGTCTTTTGCAATGTGTCTGTTGAATTGTATGTGTCTGTTGAATTGTATGTGCTGGAATGCAGGATTACGTCTGCAGTATAGGGACTGCAGAATTGTGTCAGAAGGATTGCAACTGCAGATGCGTCTGTATGTTGCGTCTACAGGACTGTGGCTGCAGAACTGCATCTGCTGGCCTGCATCTGCATCTGCTTGATTGTGTCTCCAAGAATTCGTCTGCCAGAATGGTTTTGCCAGAATGGTTTTGCCAGAATGCGTCTGGCAGAATGCGTCTACTAGAATGTGTCTGCTCTAATGCGTCTGCCAGAATGCGCCTGCTAGAATGCGTCTGCCAGAATGCGTCTGCTAGAATGCATCTGCCAGAATGTGTCTGCCAGAATATGTCTGCCAGAATGCGTCTGCCAGAATGCGTCTGCCAGAATGCGTCTGCTAGAATGCGTCTGCCAGAATGCGTCTGCTAGAATGCATCTGCCAGAATGTGTCTGCCAGAATGCGTCTGCCAGAATATGTCTGCCAGAATGCGTCTGCCAGAATGCATCTGCTAGAATGCGTCTGCCAGAATGCGTCTGCTAGAATGTGTCTGCCAGAATGTGTCTGCCAGAATGCGTCTGCCAGAATGCGTCTGCCAGAATGCGTCTGCCAGAATGCATCTGCCAGAATATGTCTGCCAGAATGTGTCTGCCAGAATGCGTCTGCCAGAATGTGTCTGCCAGAATGCATCTGCTGGATGTGTCTGCCTTAGGGACTGTATATAGCCCAGACAGACATGACACGCAGAGACTAGCTGTCAATCTTAATATGGTCAAAAGCATTTAGACAGCCAGGAATAGCAGTCCACCTACGCAATCAACCATAAAAATAGATTCTGTCTTAGAATGGATCAAAATAGAAAGCCAGGATATAATTACACATATTTATTTGTTGTATCTAACCTTGAGAAGGATTTTGTCTGCAATGTTGGACTTGTCTACAGAGAAGGCCTTCATGAACTTTATCAATGGCAATTACAATCATTCATCATCAGAACATTTGCATTGCAGAACAAGTTGACCAAAAAAATATAATCTTGGACATGGAAAGTCAAAAGCTTGTGTAAACAACTAATCAAATCTGTGTTACAGATTACTGATTAAGCTGTCTCTGAAGTGCTCAATCCCAATGATCAATCATGGGTTTGCAGACTGATATATAGATGCCACAAATCTTGATTTCTGTGTTAATGTTGATTTGCAATGCAGGGCAGGTTGACAAGAAATACACACAGCATTTCAGCACACCTTGTGCCTGACAACTGACGCTGTCCAGGATAGGAATCTCTCTGGGGCTTGCTATATTGAGTTACACGGTCACCAGATCTGGTTGCTGGAGGCCAAGCATCAGAAGATGGCAACAAAGTCCTCACACTCTAGTGACTGCCAGTAAGTACACACTAATCCGGCTCCACTCAGATCAGACTTGGGTGGAGCTAGTGTGTGGCAGGACACAACAGACAGGAAGATGGTGTTACCATCAAACACAACACAGCTTTATACAAGGCAAGGTAGCCTTGCTCCAAGGCTGTACTTACAGGAAAGTCCATAGATGTGTAGTAATTTTTATTCCTCCTAATAGGCAAGTCTAGATATGTGGACTCTAAGGACTCCAGTCTCTTATAGGGACAACATGGTCTTGGTGCATGGAAAGTGTGGGTGGCTGGGAAACAATTTGTGAGGTTGCCATGGTATCCTGATATGAGAGCCTGGTATACCTTGTCTCGATGAATGAAATTATATCTAGTATCGACTTGGTTGGTTCAAAAACAGTCAAGTTTTACAACACATCTGAATTGCAGGCATCCATAAAACATATATAAGAATTAGATCAATGTCATATGTATTTTCAAAAGATACATTAATAATAATAGTCCATTTATATATGGCACTGTACTCCATGCATAAGAATGCTCTGAGGGCTTAGACATTTATTACCCCAGTCAATGGATCAGTGTGCACTTAACAATCATCCTCAGCTCCCTGGGGAGTATACAACCCAAGCTGCCTGTTAGGTGCTGGAAGGTTGACAACCACATTGCCATCTCATCCTTCTGGTACCCATTCACTGCAGGGTGAACAGAGGCAAAATTTGAACAAAGTCACTTGCCCAAGGAGACACCACATGTGCTACATGTGCTTCAGTGTGGGGCAGGACCGAAGCCATAGAAACTCTCAGAAGCGGTCACCCATCCAAGGACTCTCCCTGAACGACGTCACTTAACTTCACCTGATTTGTGATCTGTGCGCTGTAGACAGGACCACGTACCGCCACATCAATGATCAAAATGTATGAAAATAAAGAATGGATGGTGCTTAGCTTTTTTCCTGGAGTGTATTTATAGGTGTGATCAAAGTGCATGTACCTACCTTTTAACTTGGCTCTGACTTTGTTAGCATTCTTTTTGATTTCTGACATTAAGTCTTCTAATTCTTCTTTCATTTCTGGAAAAAAAAGTCAATTTAATGACATCAAAGGACAACTTGTGTGTTATGAGAAACAACATCAAACAGCCAGCATCATGTCACAATGTATTGCGCAAATTCTGGAAATAATTGTCACGCAGTATAAAACTGCTACAAAATAGTGATGGCCTACAAATGAAGATGAACAGTTCCCAAAATTCAAAGTGCAAAGAAGCAAATAATTACTTATGCATAATCAGGATTATTCGGCAGTAAAATAAATTACACACACTGGAAAACTCTAACCCTTGAAGCAATCCAATAATGAGTTCACTATAACTCATCAACAGGTAAAATGTGTTCCTAACATTTCAGTTGAGTAAATCTGTCACTAATAAAGAGAATCTGTCAGAAAAACTAGCACCAATCTGTCACTGACAAGAAGGATGCGTCAGATTGGAAGTACTTACTGTCATCGATCTGTCACTGACATGAAGTATCTGTCAATAATACTAGCACCAATCTGTCACTGACAAGGTTCTGTCAGTTTGAAAGTACTTACTGTCATCGATCTGTCACTGACATGAAGTATGGGTCAGATTGGAAGTACTTACTGTCATCGATCTGTCACTGACATGAAGTATCTGTCAATAATACTAGCACCAATCTGTCACTGACAAGAAGGATATGTCAGAAAGACTTGCACCAATCTGTCACTGACAAGAAGGATCTGTCAGAAAGACTAGCACCTATCTGTCACTGACAAGGTTCTGTCAGTTTGGAAGTACTTACTGTCATTGGTCTGTCACTGACACAAGACAGATCTGTCAGAAAGACTAACACCAATCTGTCACTGACAAGAAGGATCTGTCAGAAAGACTAGCACCAATCTGTCACTGACAAGAAGGATCTGTCAGAAAGACAAGCACCTATCTGTCACTGACAAGGTTCTGTCAGTTTGGAAGTACTTACTGTCATTGGTCTGTCACTGACACAAGACAGATCTGTCAGAAAGACTAGCACTAATCTGTCACTGACAAGAAGGATCTGTCAGAAAAACTAGCACCAATCTGTCACTGACAAGAAGGATCTGTCAGAAAGAATAGCACCAATCTGTCACTGACAAGAAGGATCTGTCAGAATGACTAGCACTTATCTGTCACTGACAAGGTTCTGTCAGTTTGGAAGTACTTACTGTCATTGGTCTGTCACTGACACAAGACAGATCTGTCAGAAAGACTAGCACCAATCTGTCACTGACAAGAAGGATCTGTCAGAAAGACTAGCACCGATCTGTCAGAAAGACTAGCATTGGTCTGTCACTGCAAGAAGGACCTGTCAGAAAGACTAGCATGGTCTGTCACTGACAAGAAGGATCTGTCAGCTAGTCAGTACTTCCTGTCATCAGTCAGAATCAGTCAGAAAGACTAGCATCAATCTATCAATGACAAGAAGAATCAGTCAGAAAGACTAGCATTGGTCTGTCACAGCAAGACAGATCTGTCAGAAAGACTAGCATTGGTCTGTCACTGCAAGAAGGATCTGTCAGGTAGTCAGTACTTCCTGTCATCAGTCTATCAATGACAAGAAGAATCAGTCAGAAAGACTAGCATTGGTCTGTCACAGCAAGACAGATCTGTCAGAAAGACTAGCATTGGTCTGTCACTGCAAGAAGGATCTGTCAGGTAGTCAGTACTTCCTGTCATCAGTCTATCAATGACAAGAAGAATCAGTCAGAAAGACTAGCATTGGTCTGTCACAGCAAGACAGATCTGTCAGAAAGACTAGCATTGGTCTGTCACTGCAAGAAGGATCTGTCAGGTAGTCAGTACTTCCTGTCATCAGTCTATCAATGACAAGAAGAATCAGTCAGAAAGACTAGCATTGGTCTGTCACAGCAAGACAGATCTGTCAGAAAGACTAGCATTGGTCTGTCACTGCAAGAAGGATCTGTCAGGTAGTCAGTACTTCCTGTCATCAGTCTATCAATGACAAGAAGGATCTGTCAGAAAGACTAGCATTGGTCTGTCACTGCAAGAAGGATCTGTCAGCTAGTCAGTACTTCCTGTCATCAGTCTATCAATGACAAGAAGGATCTGTCAGAAAGACTAGCATTGGTCTGTCACTGCAAGAAGGACCTGTCAGAAAGACTAGCATGGTCTGTCACTGCAAGAGTGATCTGTCAGAAAGACTAGCATTGGTCTGTCACTGCAAGAAGGATCTGTCAGAAAGACTACCATGGTCTGTCACTGACAAGAAGGATCTGTCAGCTAGTCAGTACTCCCTGTCATCAGTCTATCAATGACAAGAAGGATCTGTCAGAAAGAGTAGCATTGGTCTGTCACTGCAATGAGGATCTGTCAGAAAGACTAGCATTGTCTGTCACTGCAAGAGTGATCTGTCAGAAAGACTAGCATGGTCTGTCACTGACAAGAAGGATCTGTCAGGAAGTCATTACTTACTGTCATCAGCCTATCAATGACAAGAAGGATCTGTCAGAAAGACTAGCATTGGTCTGTCACTGCAAGAAGGATCTGTCAGAGAGACTAGCATGGTCTGTCACTGACAAGAAGGATCTGTCAGGTAGTCATTACTGTCATCAGGCTATCAATGACAAGAAGGATCTGTCAAGTTAGTATTACTTACTGTCATCAGTCTGTGGTGCTGAGAGGATTGCACTGTGTTTCTTCTTGACTTCATCGACATTTGAAGATATTTTGTCTATCATCCCCCGTATCTCTTCAACCTGGAAAGAATGAAAGGTAAGATTTCAAATATATTGTTTTGGGGATAAATCACAGAATGAGAGGGTACATTAATACTGCTTTGAGCAGTACAGTACACTATGTTTATAATGAACACACTTATTACGAACTGATCAATATAACGAACTTAATTTTAGTCCTGGACATTTGTTGTATAAATGCTGTTTATATGCTTATAACGAACTACGATTATTACGAACTACAATTAGTGGTCCCTTTGTGTTCGTTATAACCACAGTTTACTGTATTTAACTTATAAACAGTTATATCACCTCGTGTCAGCTTGATATGGGAGGAAAGCCCAAAGTAAGGCAGATAATGCATACCACTTTGGTGAAACCCACGAACCCACAAGAACTGGTATGGTGCTGACAAACCTAGAAACATAATCAGGGTGAACCAGGATTTGAACCCATGATCATAGGTTTCTGGCACTCCTCGGGTACATTTTGTTTGTTTGTTTGTTTGTTTGTTGTTTAATGCCACACTCAGCAATATTTCGGATATGTGATGGCGGTCTGTAAATAATCAAGTCTGGACCAGACAATCCAGTGATTGACATCATGAACATCAATCCACGCAATTAGGATATGATGACACGCATCAACCAAGTCAGCGAGTCTGATCACCCAATCCTGTTAGTCGCAGGTACATAACTGCATGTCACTTTATAGAGGGACAATAAATAAAAGTTAATGTAGAGTTGTTTCAGGATTTTTATGAACTGATTGTTCATACACATCCAATCACCTTGTCAACTCCAATACACCCAACTGATGTCACATACAACATATCTTTCATTTTTTACGAGGTTTAACATCAAGTTCAAGATTATACACTTGTATAGCAATTGTGCATGCACGTGTGTGCGGCTGCTTGTAGTTGTCCGTATTATTGCTGGTTTCAAAGTGCAAGCCCACTAAAATACCATGCCGCAGTTTAACATGAATACCCCACTCAGACACAGTATACTGACTCCGAGCCGAGCAGTTCTTGTTTTATTCCCTTAATGCCGAGCGCCAGACAGGGTAACAACAAGTACCATCTTTTGGTATGACGTGACCGGGGATCGAACCCGGGACCTAAGCACCACCAACAAGTTTGTGTTTTTGTTTGTTTGTTTGTTTGTTGTTAATGCGCCACTCATCAATACTCCAGCAATATCACGATGGTCTGTAAATAATCAAGTGGACCCCACAATCCAGTAATTGATATAATGAGCATCGATCTATCCAGTTGGGATATGACGACGTGCACCAACAAAGTCAACAAGCCTGACCACCAGATCCCGTTAGTCGCCTTTTACGGCAAGCATAGTCACCGTTTATGGCAAGCACGGGTTAATGAAGACCTATTCTACCCCAGATCTTCACAAGTGCCAGGCAGGGCAACAACAAGTACCATCTATTAACATATCTTGGTACCATTGCTGGTATCATTCATGTAAAGTTTCAATGGCCTTGTAGTTTAGAGAAGACGTCGGAAATGTAAAGTTAACGACAGATATGCAGCCAATCGGATTAAAGTAGATTTTACTTTCAGTCGGGGGAGCTAAAAACTAAAAGTAAATATCCCACAAACATTTCAGGTAGGATCATGGAACCAATCACAGGTCACCATTTCCTCAACAACCTATCAACTGGGACTGAAAGCTGTATCATGGGATAACATTTATACTAAGTTATCTTATAATATTATACTAAGTTATCTTATAATAATTAGATCTACATCAAATGCTTTTATGAGTTATCATGGTGTAATATTTATACACCATTAGCAAGTAATAATTATCATTAGGTAAAATGCATATATAAAATATCAGTAGTTTCAGTTAAAGCTTTTTTTAGATGGTTGCTAGCCTAAGGTAATGGGAGCGCGTCTTCTAGACATACTATTCAATAAGACAAAAGTTACGTCTACATAGTTTAATTGATTTGAAGCTTTTAGATAAATGCTAGCCTAAGGTATCAAGATCCCATCTCCCAGACAAAGGATATTTATTTAAGTATATCTGTCATCACCTACCGGGGTATATTAGAATAACATTACTTCAATTAAGACTCATTAAGGATTAGCCCCCATACAAGCTCGTCTATAGTGCATTAAGGATTAGCCCCCATACAAGCTCGTCTATAGGGCATTAAGGATTAGCCCCCACACAAGCTCATCTATAGTGACACCCTAATCTCTTTCAAAGCATCCAGTAAATATGTCAACAAGATTAGTGCCAGTCCAACAGGATAAACAGGATTTAGTATTCCCCTCTGTCTAGCCATCCATTTAGCTTAGGACACAACCAATCGTGTATCATCCAATCACATTCCATTTTATTGTTTAAATTTTTGTTAAATACATACTGTAGGCAGGTTTTAAGCAGAGAAGGGGTTTGACTCTCTTACCAAGCAGACCTCTCTCCCACAGCCCAGAGTGTGTACCGACTCTCTGTGGCACCCTAAGTTATTATCTAAGATATTGTAAATTGTTAATTGTTCTTGTAAATAAAATTGTGATTAGTCTCCTGTGACTCTGGCTCTTTGCTGACTAATTCCCCAAGAAAACCAGCACGTCATTTGGAAGGTATTGTTCACCCAGAACAGTTCCATGATAATTTGGCGGAGAATCATCGTTTTCGGAACCACAGAGTCCAGGAACTAACTACGACCAGCTACAAGAACCCATTGGAGGACATGTCCAACTGTGATCATCTGATGGAATAACAAGCAAGCTGCATCAACCTCTGACCTCAACACTGGATTAAAGACAACCAACTCCTCCAAAGACACCAACAAAGGAAGAAAAAGTCTTCAAATATTGTAAGTACGACATTGTTGATAACTTGTCTTCCTTTAATTTAGTACGGTACATACTAATAGGTGTCATGGCAAATATGGAGTCTGGTATGGAAAGTAACTTTGAAAGTGAAATTCCAACAGTGTCTTTAGTTACGCCCCTTGCCAAAAGTGTAATTCAGGCAAAATTTGGCACAACAACAACAAATTGTTTAGTAGACACAGGGGCATCCATTTGTTGTATTTCGTCTGCTTTTCTGAGCACAGCTTTTGAAAACCTTACTCTTGGAAACTCACCCTTTCCACAGGTAAAAGGTGTTGGCGGCGAATTGCATAAAGTGTTAGGTTCAGTTGTGTTAGATTTTGTCATTGAGGATCAGGAATTTTCTCAAAGATTCTATGTACTGCCTACACTGCCGAAGGCAGTGATACTAGGTGAGAACTTCCTTGATGACAATGATGCAGTCTTAGATTATAGCTGTCATTCCTTGATACTCAACAACAGCACCTCAGATAGGCAATATATCAATTTCATAGCCAATTCAGTGCATGAGATTAGTGGATTAGCAAAAACAATAGATCAGATTTATGCTAGCCTAAGGTATCAAGATCCCATCTCCCAGACAAAGGATATTTATTTAAGTATATCTGTCATCACCTACCGGGGTATATTAGAATATCCAAATTTACGTCACCTACAAAGGATTTGTCCAGATTTCATCCAAATCTTTGACTACAAAGAGGATGAAGTCCTTCCACAAAATGAAAAGGATCGTCAAAAGATTCTTATTGAAGCCAATACTTTTGAAATTGATGAAGGCATCCTATACCGATTCGTTCCACAAAGACAGAAAGGCCACGCAGACAAGTTCATTAAACAGCTGGCAGTCCCAAGAACCCTCAGAAATCAAGTCCTGCAATCCTATCATGACTCAGAGTTTGGCGGTTGCCATCATGGGAAAGAAAGGATGCACAACACCATGAGACCTAAGTACTACTGGCCCAAAATGTACAGAGATATTGCTACTTATGTCCAGACATGTGAGGTATGTCAACAGACCAAGAGGCACTACCATGGCAAGAAGGCACCACTTCGTCCACTACCTGTAGAAGAGGTCTTCACCCGATGGCACATTGACATTCTCGGTCCCCTGCCAACAACACCAGATAAGTACAAGTACATTTTGGTCATCACAGATGCATCATCTAGATGGTGTGAAGCCTTTCCACTTCGGACCCAAGAAGCCAAAGAAGTAGCAGATGTTTTCGTCAGAGAAATCATTTGTCGGTATGGCGCTCCAAGGACCTTAATTTCAGACAGAGGTCAGAACTTCATGTCCAAACTTATCAAAGCAATTTGTGAACTTTTGGCAATTAAATTTACCCATACCAGCCCATACCATCCTCAAACAAACAGCTGTGTAGAAAGGCTCAACTCTTACATCAATCAATCACTAAGAGCCTATTGTAACAAGTCTCAAAATGATTGGCCCCGTTTCATTCCTGGCATCATGATGGCCTATCGGATGGCTCCAAATTCATCAACTCAAAAATCCCCATATGTTATGCTTTTCGGCCGGGAAATGAGAGCTCCACAAGATGTAGCATTAATTCCAAAAGAAAATTTAGGCCACAATAACAAAAGTTATCTTTCCAATTTGCTTGAGGAGCTTCAAATCACTAGAACAATCGCAGCTGAAAACACTGCTCGGGCTAAGGAGGTGTATTCAGAACAATATAATAAAAAGGCTAAAGAACCAGAATTCGCCCCAGGTCAAAGAGTTTGGCTTTACTGTCAAAAAGTTGAAAAAGGCCTTTCCAACAAATTAACCAAAAAGTGGTATGGTAGCTATTATATCATCCATACAGGTCCAAATTATACCTACAAACTGCGCCGAAGTTCTGACGACAAAATACACAAACCACTGGTCCATGCCAACCGTCTGAAGCCATATTTTGATCCTGCTGATCGTCCACAGTATCCTCCAGAACCATACCTCAATAACCCCAGTGACATAGATTCAGGAGTCATGGATGACAACGAGGAACCAGTCAATGATACTCAGTTTGACAGCAACATATCCCCATCAACAAGTTCAACTTACCAGGCTACTGATCAATCACCTCCACAACAGAAAGGTAAGAAGGTCAATTCCAAAACAAAGGCAAGTACTTCCAGCAACAAGAGTCCG